ACAGAGATTTTTGTGTGGTTTGTATCAGTAGAAGGCTGTCTGCCACACTGGTCCTTCCAACAGGCTGTGCTGTAATATCAGTGTAGAAAAGGGAACGTCTACCTTGCATTCTCAGCTACAAATATTTTAGCCCAACTAGAACTTATTTTTATCACGCTTGATTTCCATAGCCTTTTACTTGAACCTTATCTTTTCTTTAAACAGCAACTTCCAACACAGAGGATCCAAAATGCTTCTTGCAAGAGTATTTTGGCAGCTTTTCACTATTGTTTCTTTGCAGAAAGTGAAGAAAAATCTCATTTATGGTAACTCAGAAGTTGTAGCAAAACCATTACACCACCAGCTGTGCAGCCTCCATGCATCAGGCTGCAGTTGCTTGGATGGCTTTGAAAATCTCCTGAGCCTTCTTCTGTATCAGAGGGGTCACCGTATATGTATATATATAAAATATGGTTTTTTTAATTGATTGTTTCTGCCTTTCTTTCATCTCCAGAATTCTAATGCCATGTTTTTTAAACCTCCATTTTTAACTCTTGGCCTGATTCCAAATTGTTTTAAAAACTCTGGTAGACATTGGCAGCTTTATCTGGCAGATTTCTTGTGCAGGTATGAAATCAGACCCCTTACCTTGAGGCCTACATTCTTTAAAATGCTCTACTTCACTGGCAGCTCTCTACTATTGATGTTATGTTACTATGTACATGAGCAGGCAAACATTTCAAAACAGTCTATGAAAGCCCGAGATGAGAAGAACCAAGTGAAGCAGGAGCTAAAATGGGGCAGTACTGGGCATTGTAAAATATTTCTGATAATTCAGTCACTCAAGCATCAAGCCCTAGTTAATGCAGTAGCATGGTTCAAGAAGGAAGCTTATCTAATTTTGCAGCCTTTTCAGAATTCTCTTTAGCTCTAGGGGTAAAAGAAGACCAGCCCAGTGTGTCTGGATGTTGTTTTAGCTGAGATGGCAGATGCAGTAATGCACTCCAAAGTTTGCTCTGTGATGGGGATGGGGCTGGGTGCCTCCTTCCAATTCTGCCTGAAAGGAGAAAATTACTTGAAGAAACCTGTCCCTAATCAACCACTTATCTGTTGTACGGGGTGAGAACACAGCCTTGGAGATACAACTAAAGCTCCTAGCCCTCCTTTCTGCATCCCTTTTGCTTCAGTTAGTGATCCCTGACATTTTGAAACCAGAGGTCATAAATAATTGGAACGTGACTTTTAGGTTGGCTGTATTTACAGAGGGATCTTTTTCACAAAACAAAAGTAATTTCAAAGCGTTAGCTGTAGAAATATCCCCTCTCTGTGCTTTTGCTCTCAGTCTGAGCTCCGTAGTTCCAGAAGGAAGAAATTGAAGTATCATGACTTGGTGTGGTAGAACAGAAATAGTTTGCTTGTAGCCATTGATGCAAAAGAGCTTGGCCTATGGCATTACAGTTAATGCAGTGCTTCAGGTGATGAGGTAAGAGGCCATGGAAATCTTTCTTGTTTCCTTGCACCATGAGGCATGAAATCTGATTAGACTTGTCCTGTTACAATTGTGATCTACAGTCCTAAAGCTGCTGACGTTTTCCCAAAAGACCACCTGTATCCATGAGATACAGAGTGAAGTATGCTGAAAAGGGAATGTTTTCCCAGCCCCTTAGATACAAGGATGAGTATGGGATAGTTCAGGGCTGCCAGAGCTCATCTAGCTGAAACAAGTGAAATAAAGGGTGTTTAAATACCAACTTCAGATGAAATTCAAGAAAAATATCCTTGTAAAATGCCTGTGTTCCCCATATAGAAAAATTAATGGAGGCACAGAATACAAGCATCCAAGAACAGCTTTTCTCAGTAGCTCAGTTACATGTGCAAATCTAGCAATGAAGTGGATTGAATTCTGTTATGTAGGCTTAGCTTCTCTCCATTCTGGCACTCTAATTATGTAGAAGGAAGGGGTTCCATTTTTCATGGACAATAAAATATATAGGATCCCATGTTTCCCACACAATAATATATATGTGCACACAAAATATGTACAAATATTGCATGTGATTGTCTAGGTTTGGTACCTGGAAAAAAACCTACAACCTTTAAATGTGGATACGCATAGCGTTTTAGTCTGGAACAATGTCTGGAAATATGACTTAATTAGCTAGCATCTAATTGGGATGCTTGATGGTAATAACTGAAAGTCTAGGTTATCAGATGATTTAGAAATGAAGTTGTCTACTTAATTTTTACCATGATTATTAAAGCAAATTGGGTATTTACTGTGCAAATGGCCACTATCTATTGGTGGAAAACACCCTGCTGACCAGAGATAACAAGGGAACCTAACCTTGTAGCCTTTGGCTGGCAAACTGTAATTAAAATGCAGTCCCATCTTCTCCATAAAATGCTGTTTCCAAATGCTTGCATTCAAGCTGCATAACCTCGTTTATCAAGCATTCCCCTTGCCAAGAGAACAAGTTTCTTTTAACTAGGTAGCTTGCTATGCAGCACTTTGCAGAGATCAGCGACAAGTCTTTTCACTCCACAACAAAGGAAAACAGGATCCAAGCAAATGAATTTGGGCTGGGCGATGAGGAAGGAGGTTTTGCCATAGCATTGGGCACTGAAAGTCCCCAGCAAGCTGAGCTTTGTGCTTAAAAAGAGAAAAAGCTTAAGGGAGGGAGGAGCAAGTCTCCTTTATCTTGAGAAGAGTACAGCTTTATTTCTCTGCTGATTCACATTTCTTTTGAGACCTGCTAATTGCAACATCTCTCAGTAAGTTACTTACAGCAGTTCCGCTGGGTAGAAATTGTGATAAATGCATAAACTGTGTCTTATTGATTTTTGTTGACATTTTACATGCTTCTTATGCATTCTTAGCCTCCAATTCAGTAATTGTCACTGTGCTACACGCTCCTGGATAATGAGAGCAAGAGAAGTGAATGAAGTAGTTTCTTGACCGTTATAAACAATATTACTCAAGGCTGTATGGGGTTTCTTGCCTGTCCTCCGGTATATCTCTATTTGTACTCACCCCCCTTTGAATTTGCAAGACAAGAAATGCAAACCCTTGGTGATATTTCCTCTTTTAATGATAATAACAGAAATGTTTTTGTTGGAGAGATTACTTCAATGGTAAATTTGGGCCTCTTTCATTTTAGTGCACAGCAGCATTATGGAAGCTAGCAGAGGTACTGTAATTTATTTACCCTTCTACACACATTTGGTCTAGAATGCTGTACAGAAAGCCATTCATTGCATCATTTTCTTTGACAGGACTTTGTTGCTGAATAATGGTAGTATAGTAGTTGTGTCTAAACAGCTGTAAGACATCATCAGTAGAGTCATGACATTGCCATGAAGTTTGCGTTAAAAAGAATCCTTCTGATTTTAAAACACTGACCTATCAGCCAGAGGTACATAAGCCAGTTTAGGTTGTCCTGTACCAAGGGCTTTTACATTAATAAAAAAAAAAGTACCGCATGATGCAAAAATGCATTGACTTTATTTTCATGACTAGATGTAGTGCTTTTGGGTAATGATCAGGCATTGCTTTCTCTTACTGTTGTTTGATTAAAATGTGAATACAGTCTTGACTTGATAATCTCACCAGGTGCACGGTGCAAAAAAGAAAAGGTATTTTATGCCTCAAATTGATTTGCATAAACCAAACAATCTGTTGCTTGTTGGATTGCAAAGTAGTTAATTTTGCCCATTGGCCACAGGGGCAACAACATTGTTATTTTTGATGCCAGAATGTAGCTTTCATGTATTAGCTCTAAAACGACAATATGCTTTAGCCTCTCAGTGCTTAGATTTGCTTCATTTGGAAATCTTTTAAGTAGTAATAATAATAATGTTTTGAGGAAATTGAGTGGAACACTAAATTATTCTCTGAAACCTAAGTTCAAACTGTGCAAGGCTAAGGGAGCTGAAAATCAATGCACTTTTAAAGTCATTAGAGATCACAAGTGAAATAAGTCTGTGGTGCTTTAGCTAAGCTTTTAGTGTGCCATGGTATTATTACAAAATCAGCCCGAATCTGCATTAATTTCACAGTCTTTTTCTTTAAGATGCCCAAGGGTGCATGAAGAATAAAATGTAAATCTCAGAAGGCAGTGTTTTTATTAGTTAAAAGGGCAGTGAGTCATGCACTAAGAAAGTTGACCCGTACCATGCCCAGTATAGGTATGACTGACAATAGTAAAAGAGTGGAAAAATAGCCCAGGCATTCGCCTACTGGCTTTTATTATGATTTAAAAGACTATAGAGGGAGAAAAGTGATTTTTTAGTTATTCATGCACACAGCTTTTGAATTGTTCAAGCTCTTGGTAGCTTTCATAGATCAAAGAATTATACTTGTACCTAGGACTGTGAGAAGCAAAAATCATAAAGACTTTTATTCTTAATATGTTATTTTCTTAAATGTTGAGATTCCACCTACGTTACTGAATTTTGTCTGAGTCTTTTTGCAATTAGTTGCAAAGTTTGCAGTCAAGTTTTTCTCATCTTTACTTGTACGGTTGTTCTTGGTGCATCACGGAAATATGTGACATTATGGACTCCTTTAAATTCTCAGCTCAGCTGCCAGTGATGCCAGTTGTTTATTCACTGTCCAATATTTACCGACACAAAAGCCATAGCAAGCAGTTATGGCCCGAATGGACTCAACTATGCAATCCAAACTCTGCATAAGAAAGCCTTAAGTATGTCAAACCCTGTGGCTAAAGAACAAAACCAACCAAACCAAACCAAACCAAACCAAACAAAAAAAAACTAAATTAAAGAAAGAAACCCTTTTATCCTCACCCATCACACCTAATTTTTTTTTCTTTCATCTATGGTCAGATTAGCAAGTCAGCACTGTCGATAAATAAACTAGAGAAGTTGTTTATTTTTATGTACTACTGAGAACAGTGTCGTCTTGTGGCCGTTCTCGTAGACTGTGTTGGTTTAACAAGCGTCCAACCCTTTTGTCTTGTTGTTTTTTGTCTTTCCTGCTCCCTGTCCCCTTGTTCCCACAGGCTGTGCGTTTGTCACATTTTCTACAAGGGCAATGGCACAGAATGCAATCAAAGCCATGCACCAGTCTCAGACCATGGAGGTACAGTACTGTATCATTTGCCCTTTCTTTGTTTTCTTTGTGCAAATGATTGCGAATGGTAAAGCCATGCTCTCCTGGACCAGATCAGACACATGACAATCACAGATTTAAACTTTTTGCCAACTCACGCTACCTCTCCTTGTTAAACGTGTTTTTCTTAACGGCCTGGAAGCACACAATCAGGTTGCAGTATCCAAACACAGCTCTGTATCCTGTTCTCAGTGGCATTCACAGAAAATAAAATTGCTGTGAATACCACTCTTCACTCATACTCAAGAGTATACCAAATGAGTAAATTGCTTTTAATATTAACACCTCCCCCCCCAAAAAATCTTAGTTTCCTTTAAATAGATGTTTAAGTGTTCTGGTTTGTGCTGCTCTGAGAAAAACCTCAAGAGATTTAACGTGGCCACCCTGAGTTACTAGTGCATGTGTTTTCCTGCAAATGGAATCTCTTTATAAGCTAATACAATTTCTCTTTCTTCACGATAGCGATAAAAACGCTAATGATGAAGGAGCATATCGAAGCTTCCTACAGAGCACCGCTGTGCCTGGCCCCTCTCAAGCTCTGTCTCCTCCCACATTGCCTCTACGGCCTCATATTTTGTAACAATGAGCAACACGAAACTTGAAACCCTTTCACTTAACGTGAATCCAGCAGCAGACTAACGATCCGGTCATTGGAGTGGTGATCAAGTGCCACAGCTTGTCTGGCAATCTCAAACTTTTGTCAGTCTGTGATTTTTGTCATGGTCTTTCAGAATTTTGCACAAAAAACCGCACAAGTATTAAGTCTTTACTTACTCTGGATCTTCTAGCTTATCATTGGAGAGTGCATGTTATACTGTATTATGTATACTGTATCTTCGTGTAGTGATGATTTTTTCTCATAGGTGGCATTGATGTTATGTGCACTTGTTTCTTTTTATTTATTTTTACACCAGGACCTTTCGATTTCTCTCAGTGATTTTTCTTTGCAATGCTCTAGTCTCCCAAAGCATGCGGGGTGCTAAACAATCATTATTGCGTCATGTCGTTAGCTGCTTTGTGTAACGAGCCAGGGGGGGAAGAGCAGGGGTGGGAGAGTGGAGAGAGGACAAGAAGGCAAAGGAAAAAGAAGGCAGTGCATGAAAATGTCACTAACTGTTTCCTGTGTACTACAAGTAACGATACTGGCATTGCAAAGCTATTGTCTCTCCAAGCATCACGTTTGAATTTGGTTGAGCTTATTTTATAATTGATGTGTTTTTCTTTTCAGTGCAATGCATTTTTAAACCCTAAGTATGTAGTTTTAGATGAGAATCTTCCAATGAGACAAGAATATTTGAAATTATTTTTACTAGAAAACCTATGATATATGCAGTCTGACAGTATATTGTGGAAAAACTGCCACTTTGAGTTTTTGAAATAATACTCACAGTAATTTGTCTGCCATGCACTGCTCCACTAATTCAGATCTATATATTTTGCTGGGTTTGATTCCATGTAAAAAGAAAATGTTTATTGGTAATATTGTGTTTTACCTATATTTTTCCATATGTTTTAATGTATTTTTCTGTCTAGCAAGATGAATTTTACACAGGTCTACCTCAGAAGATGGTAACATTAAAGACATACATCCCAGACAAATTCATCCATTCTTCTGTTAATTGCAGTGCTCCAACTGAGGCTGCATTTTGTTATAATGCTCCTGCTTACTTCAGTTCTATAGAATAATTAGACTTTGATCTCAATATCTTTAGAGTTATCATCAATGAGAACCCCAAACTGGCAAGGCAAGGCAGTTCCAAGTATTTTGCACTTTGAACATCTGGGTCTTTGTGCCAGTTGAGCTTAGGCTGGAGTCCCTTCCTGGAGAGAAGCAGTACACCCTCCAACTCCAGAGGTGATGGGCTGAACAGAGTCTGTACACTGTATTGCCAACAAAAAGAAAAATACGAAGGCAGCACCAGCTGTCAGGAGTAAAATTGCACTAGAATGGGGTGCAAATGCTGAGCCACTGAATGAGAAAGGGAGATGCACCTTGTGTGTGTGATGCAAGCCAATGCTCTTCTACTAGAAAGCTAACTGACATTACCTAGCGTTAAATCTTGGCCTCTCAGCCTGAAACAGTGATCCTTGGATGCATTTGTTTCACACTGAATGCAAAAAAATAGATGGGCTTTGGGGAGAATATGTATTACACAGTCACATCAACTCAATTACTGCAGATTTTTTTTCTGATTTCATTATTTTTGCTTCCTTGTCACACATTATTTACCAACATGTATTTTCAAAGTGGGTAAAGAAAGAACAGTAGGGATGTTAATATCCAGAGGAATATATCTCTTAAAATAATGAGTTCTTTTACTACTTTTTGCATCTGACTTTCTGACCTGGTTAAATCAACTGATCTTCAGTACATAACTGCTGCTCTGAGTTTCTATTCTTCTATCTCATTTCCGGGGGTTTTGTTTGTTTGTTTAAGGCATTGAAATGCAGTACCAGTAGAAGACACTAATTTGTTATCATGGAGTAAATTTGATGCAACAATAACAACCCTTTTCTCATATAGAGCCACTTGCTACATATAATTTCAGTCTTCAGAATGTTTACTCTCTTGAAAATGATGAAGTGATGAAATATAGAGCAGACAGTGAAAAAATGAATTATAGACTCATAAATTGCAGAGATATTGTTTTTATACAATTTACTGACATTTAAGCATTCATAAATATGTCAGCTGTAGTGTCGAGTGCTGAGCTGCTGAACTGAGAACTGAAATAGCCATAGAATATTTCTTCCTTTAAAATTCAGTTCTGGTTTCTTTGGAAGTAGATTTGATTCTCCTATACATCTAGGTAGCAGTCAGTAAGTTCTGGTTTTGATTAGCCCAATGCTACCAAAGCTCATATTGAATACAGTACAGCTTGCTTTTTTATTAGTTGAAGCAGAAAAATTTCTTTCACACCCTCCCACCCCCAGCTCCTTTTTTTTTTTTTATTAAAGGACCTTGTCTTTAATACTAGTATAAAAATCTCTGAAGAGATGTAATTTTGTAACAAGCTGACTCTTTCATAATCTTTATTTGATTGCTAGAGTGGTACATATCTCCTTTTTTCTTGCTGAAACACTGAAAGACAGTTTTACAATGAAACACACAGGGAAGGAATTGGAGGTGGAATAATAAATCACAAGTGATGATTTTCTAAGATAATTCTAAAGGAAAAGTATTGATGGGAGATCTTCATACAAGAGATATTATTATTGCGGTTTATTTCATCATTTTGTCTGTTGATTTTGAATGTTCTTAGCATTTGTCCTGGTGTGAGGTTCTTCAGAGAGAAGGTACTCAACTGTTCTCTGTAGATTGTAGAGGAAATAAACTTCGCTAAAGATGTTCACAATGTTGTGAGAGCAGTCATGAGAACAGTTAGGCTAAGTATAACCAGCCTCCCCATCCCACACTGCACATGTTGGCTCTCTTTTTTGGACTTGAGTCATCTTTCACTCCTACCATTATGTTCAAATTGAAGTTAGGCACAAAATTAGTATAATAATGCATGGCAGGTAGAGGGAAGTTATTCATTGGTTCCTGTAGTTGGAAAACAGTAAGGAATGGATTGGCAGCTACCATGACTCACAAAATGCCTGAATTAAGAACTGAATCACTGCAGTACATAGTTTGTTCTCTTGATTTGAAAAAATGAAGCCTAAAAAGGTTAAAATATGAAAACATTTGATAGTGGGGATAAAAAAAATAGGGTGAGAGCAACAGGGACATTTTTCATATTCACTTCTTGTTCTCTCAGTGACTTCGCCCAGGAATATCCAAACTGATGTCCAAGGGAAATTCTTAGTCCCTCAACAGCCCACCCAGTCCACAGCTTCTCAAGGATCCCTGAGATGGGTGAGGAGCAGGCTGCAGACTGGATCTTGAATTCTTTCCTACTGTCTGTGTCCTATGGGGTCTTGCAGCTTTCCCATATCATATAACAAGAGGCTCATTGAAACAATAGGAAAATAGAATAAAACCTGTAAGAGTGGTGTGAATCAGGAATGGGCTGCTCCCACCAGAAGTAGTCAGTTTTGGTCCACATCCTGTCTTTTGTTCACACCTCAAGGGTGCTCAACACAAAGTGTGCCCAGGAGCAAGCTGCAAGTGGGTGAGTTGTTCTCATAGCATGGCCCTTGGTGTTCATCCAAGGTTCTTGATATGGAAGGAACCAGTGACCCATTGCTGATGAGTGTTGCAGTAAATCTGGTGCTCTCAGGCCTATTTATTTAGGATAGACAAGACAGCTGCACCAAGCACAGGGAGCCTGTGTGGCAGGGCTGTGTTGGCTGTGTGGTCATTGGCAGCAGGGAGGTTGGACACCTCTCCCTTTGGCGATGCCTTGAAAACAGACTGCAGACAAAGCAACATGTCCATCTCATCAGCTGTGAAGCTTAATTAAAGAGGACTGGTACACTTGCTGTCTCTGGCAGCAGTTTTGATAGCTGGAAGGAAAAGAGAGCCTGAGGAAAGGTGCTTTATAAAAAGAAATAGGGAATTGATAATTTCTCTACAGCCTCTTTTCCTGAGAAGCTGAAAATCTTAGTCCTCGTGGTCCTACACATCAGTCACAAAGAAAGGAAAGCTATCAGGTTGTGCCATTGCCAATGGCCCTAAGCTCATGGTTCAGGGTTGGCTTAGTGTGATTTAACACTTCTTTTTCCCGATCTGTCTAACCACAGGGCTGCTCTTCGCCAATCGTGGTGAAGTTTGCTGATACCCAAAAGGACAAAGAGCAGCGGCGTTTGCAGCAGCAGTTGGCACAGCAGATGCAACAGCTCAATACTGCCACTTGGGGAAACCTCACGGGTCTTGGAGGACTCACACCACAGTATCTAGCTGTAAGTTCAAATCAGAGGTGGTGCACCTATAGCATGCTGTATTTATTTTAGACCCATGAAAATTAGCAACAGTAAACTTCCTTCAATGGAATAGTAAATTCTGCAGGACATATAGTATGTCTACTTCTACATTAAAAAAAACTTTGCATGTTTATTGCATGATTTAAAAATAAATAGCAAAGAATAAAACTTGAATAAACATTTCAGTGCATTGCTGCTGTCCAAGGCAAGAAGCATTTAAAGTTTACTCGTGCTCCAAAATAAAATTTTACTCCATTAGTTTTATTGTTCTTTTGAACATTACATTCTGTTATTCGTTGCAGGAATAAAATTTAAGTTATTCCTTAGGGGAAGACAGATAGGTATCTGAACACAACACTGTACAGTCCGTATCTGTATGGTGCAGCTTCTAAACTAGGATGTTGTGGTTCAGTGCTCTAATTTTACATATTTTCATCTGGAAATTACTTTTACTTTAATGCATGGTCCCATCAATGCTAAACACACGTGATTCATACTATCTTTTACAGAAGGGAAGGTGGCAGAGGAAAGCAATTTGTCTCTCATAAATTTAAAATGATATTTTCTTTGATCTATATGTAAGAGGAAAAACAAGTGCTAGCTGCTGCCCCTGATGGAGAAAGCTGAAATACACAGCTGTGTGTCTTAGGTCTTGGATTGCCAAGTCTACCTTGCAGCATGGCTGGAAGGGTTTTCTGCTTCTTATGGCTTTGGAGCTGAGTGTACAGGTTGGGCAGCTTTCCTGATGGTTCTGAACTAGACAAATAGATGCGTCCATATGTGTACTGTATACTCATAAGTGCATAATTTGTATGCATACAATGTGTTGGTATAGTGATATAATGATAAACAGCAATTTACCTGGCAATTAAATATATATATCAGTATTGAGGTAGGCTAATTAATACTGAGGTGGGCTAAATTGCTGTATACAAATACCAGTCTAATGAGTATCTGTGTGCTTGATTCATATAGGTAATAAAGAAAAAACTGAATTCAAGAGGGTGGTGGAGAATGGACCGTGATTGACAGAGATGAGTTATAGTAACTACTAGACTACAGAGGGTTGTAATTAGTCACGCTATGTTGGTTTAAATAGATTTAACACCTGGTTGTTAAAAAGAATAAATTGATTAATTGTTTTAAAGCAGCGATGTTATTGAGTTTCCCTTGTGCCTCTGTGTTTCTTAATAGAGATTAGACATTAATATGGATTTACAGCATTGACTCTAGGGATGTTCATTCCAACAATAGACAGAAGCAAGAGACTGCATAAATGTAAAGAAAAGCATAAATACTCAAATGCGAAATGATCGCTCGTTTTAGTTTTATCTTCATTTGTTACACTAATGTCAGATAGATTGCTGTTTTGTGTTGTTAATTTGCAGCTTCTGCAGCAAGCAACTTCCTCCAGTAACTTGGGTGCCTTCAGCGGCATTCAGCAAATGGCCGGTAAGTTGAAAACCATTTCATTCTATTCCAGCTATGTTTTGTATTCTTTAGCTATCAAATTCTGCATCTCTAATAATCACGCTGTCGGGCAGGGGGCTGTTCTGTATTAAACGTGGCAGATGTACCGGCAGGGGACAGCTCACGGTTCAACGTCAATAGAAACAGCTTCTCCCCTCTTTCAAAAACTGAAATTAAACCCAGAGCTCCCAGGTTGAGCAAACAGTTTGTCTTGCATTAGTCACCTGCCATTTGTCCAAAGTAACCAATTGTAAATTGCAGGAGAGCTCTTGGTCCCTGCAGCTGTATCCTTCCCTATGAAAAGTGTCAGTAAAGCAACAGCAGGATTACGTTCTCATTTCCAGCGAGATTTCTGTGTCCTGAAAAATCAAATTAATGGCAGTCCTCAAACATTTTAATAATAGGTGGTGAGTAAAAATGTTCTGACCTTTTTAATGAAACCCAAGATTACAGGCCTACCTTCAGTGTGGATTTTCAGGCTCCTTTTATAATGATGGAAAATTAACTGGGTGCCTTTTTGACTTTGGAACCCTAGTTGACAAAATTACACAACAGAAGCTTTTATGTAAAAGTATAATCTTTGTCTGAGGGGAAAAAAAAAAAAAAAGAAAAAAAAAGAAAAAGAGAAAGAAATAAAAGAGGAAAAAAAATCAAAGTCTGGGCATATTTGAAAGCCAGCTCGTTGGAGGGCTTCTTAGTAATGAGCTGCGTGCCAGTAGTAACTGATGTGTAGTGATTAGCAAAAGGTCGCTCCCACTGTGTGACCTACCATGCTGATACCCTAACTTAACATGATGCTGGAGAAGGCAGCATGTGCAGTAAATCAGAGCACAGATGCACATTATGCCCGCCGCGAGAGACTGTTAAAAAGCTTTTTTTTTTCTTGTTAGAAGGAAAAAAAAAAAAAAAGGGAAGCACAAAACCCCAAATTGCTGCATTAGTTTGTTTTAATCATGAACCCACTGAATCAATAGCATACAACATTGTGCTTGCTTCATCATTACGAAACAAAGAGTAAAATATTCACAAGTCTTTCTGAGCATCATTTTCTCACTCTTCTTCTAATCCTCGTCTTTTGCTTCTTCTGATTCGGCTTTGAATGAATCCTGAAATACTTTAACAAGTACAGATCTACCACACAGCATTGCTGTACCCCACAGGTATTCTTTGCTCAATTGTTACATTATGCCATTATTGCAGTGACATCAGAGACTAATGCGAACCTGCTGTCTGACAATATAAATTGGCCTACAGATGACAATATCTCTGAATTATTCTCTCTTCCTCAGACCTGCTGGCAGTGCTTGCTGGTTCTATTATGTTACACTTGCAATCTAGCATTTTTTTTTTCATCTAAAAATGTATCTTAATATGATAAACAGAAGAGAGCAATTCAGTAACAGTTTTATGCTTGGCAGTTTTGGAAGTGGCTTTGAGCTCAGAGATTGTGTTTAATGTTTTCATATTTGGTTAAGACTGCGAAATGAAAGAATTGAGACACTGAAGAAAAATAATGCAATCTCTATTACATTATGTGCATCTTGGAAGTTTTCTGTTGCCTTTTTCTCCCAGGTAGTGTAGATTCAGCTTTATCTCAAACAACTGTGTCAAAGCTAGAAATTTTTGTCAAGTAACTTTAGAATGGGCTCTCAAACCAGGATTTATTCTCTGAAAGTCAGATGGTCTTGAGGCTAATACATTGTAGAGGCATATCACTTTTACTTGAGGGATGTACCTTCTCGACTAAAAATTAGATGCTAATGTGCTTAGATATGGGATGATTTAATGACTGACTGCCTCTCCTGGAAAACAGTTTTAACTTAAATTCATTATAAAAACTGCTCTAAATTTACTTCTTTCTTTCCCCAAAACATGTAACTCTTAAACCTTATTGCTGAAGGTCAAATTAGTGACATTAAATTTTCTCTCCAAGCTAAGCTCCACTGATGAGCACAAAAGACTAAATGTTATTTCACTGTTAGGACCAAGAGTTCATGTCCTCTCCTTGGAAATCAGAAATTATCCAGGAATTTATCTTTGGTGCTATGTTATGCTATGCGCTCAGTACTAAAGACTCACATGGTATGTTTTATAGAAGGAATAGAAAATGCTCCAGTGTCTCCAGCAAGGTCTCACCTGCTGCTATTCTTTAATGTTTGTTCTCACAGCCCACAAAGCAGCATAAAGGCCCAGAGTTTTTTAACTTAAGCTATTTGCATTCATTTTGCAAAAAAATGAATCCAATATGTATTTTTCACATTGTGTATGGCTTGCTTATTAATAGAATATTTCAAGTTGAAGACTAAAGTCTACACATGACTGAGTAAGATGCTAAGACGATAGGTTATTGATGCTTGCATGTTCTTTGAGCTAAAAAATGTGCTTACAGTCAAATGTTTGTTCTGGTTCTTGTGCTGAATTTAATAGTGAGGGTTAGGCATTCCTCAGGATAAGTAAAGACAGAATCTGCATGCTTGAGTAGTTCTGCATGCCAGAATTTATTCAAGCACGTGCAGTGCGTTTGAGAGGTCAGAGTTTTGTCTTTGAAGTCAGTGAGTGTGCTTACCACTCAATCCAGGCACTAAAAGTTTGATCAAAAGCCACAGAAGCTGTGAAATTCTCACTCTTACTTATATGTCAGGGCTTTAGTGCCTCTTGAGCGCAGAAGTCCTGACGAAGTCACAGTTTGCTAAGGTGGGATGCTTATTGTAGATGCCCCCTCATCCAAAATTAATGACCTCCAGATCTGGAAGTATTAACTTGTACTGCTAAAGCTCATGTCGTCTCTGAGCTACCCAGAAGGTACATAGCACACACTCTATACATGTATATAAATATACATGTAAAGAAATATTTCCTTAGGAATAGTATTTCTTAAATACAAGCAATTTTCTTTGCAAGCAGAGCCTCAAAGTAGTTAAATTAATTTTTATGCTTTTATGGTTTATATCTTTGGTTTTATTGGAGGGGATATTTGCATAGGCATTTTTAGTTGAAGGCAACTGGAGCTTGTTTAAAAGACAGGGAGCTGATCCAAAGAAAAATGAGGATTTGTCTCAAGAACTCACTAGCATACAAACATTAAACAAACAAATCAGCTCCAAAAGTGAATCCTGTTCTTGCTGTAGCAGCCCACTGGCACCACTGTGTGTTCTGTGTTTCCTTTACCCTGTGTTCATAAATTATTTGTGATGTCCAAGTAAATCATGATACTGGCCTCACTAAAATTTTTGATATTTGAATTTGAAAGGCAACAAGCAGTAGGTTGCCATTTAGCTTTCCAAGCCTTAAGGTTCCACACTCAATTCCCCAGCTTAGATGTTCTCATTTTTATTGAAAAATGAGATTTTCATGAAATCATTTTATTTCAGGAGCCAAACCAAAGAAAATAGTGTAATATGTCAAGACTGGTTTAAAAAAAATAAAAATAAAAATAAAAATTGGGAGAGTTGGCAGTGCTGCCTTGGCTATTATAATAATCCCTCAGTCTTGATTACAGGAGCTAGCCCTACCTTGCCAAACTCTGCTTTATCACTCTTTGTAAAACATGTAGGCACGTACCATCACTGAGTGTATATTTTATAGTGAGTACTTCCTTGCTTTTCTTCCCTCCTACAATATCTGCTAATGCTAATTTAAAGACTGTTTTCCCTCACATACCTCGCAAGCTTCAATGTCTAGCCTTTGCTTTGTCTTTGGGGAAGGCTAATAATGTGGATGAATTTCATTGTATTATTTGATTGTCTTATTTTAGAAAGACAATGCAAGCTGCAATAAGCACTAGCAAGCTTTCAAGAAGGGAAAAAAAGATTCCTTCTTCAAATATATACAGATTGCATGGAAGGTATAGTTCAAAGGTGATGGATGTCGCTTGAATGTTTGTATTGAATTTGGCTGGCATTGAATTGCATCAGAAAACCAGCAGTTTTTTAAGTGAACCTGCCTGTGTAAGAAGAACCTGGGAAGTACTATACAGACAGTGTAAACACAGAGGTTTTTATATTCTACTGGATTACTGCAGAAAATTTGAATGCCTCCAAATTATATTATCTATGAAGATTTTCTATCATCTATTAATGCTGTGGCTGGAGTAAACATTTTCTCATGCAGAAATATTTCACCTGTATATGACCATTCAGAGCACATAAATATGTGTGGAGCTCATTAAAAACACAAAGGAATTCTCTTAATTTCAGTAGACAGCCAGTGTGTTTTGCTTTCTGAAGTCACGCAGGAGAAGAATCCATGCTTTTGGCTTTTCAGACACCTAAATCCTCTACAGCTGGGGCTTTTTATGCTTTCTCAATGTATGTTCTTTTGTTTCAAGTGCATTGCAAACACTCTCACAGTTTTGTTGCATTTTGGGATGAACTTCTGGCCCATTCTGAGCCCTTTTCAATTCATTTCACCCTTCTTTTGCAACCCAAGCCAGATTTCCTCCTGTTGCAGAGTCTGTAGGAGCAGATGGGTGAGAGAAACTCTGCGAGATTCTGCTTTCTGAATATTTCCCTCTAATTGTTGTATTGGCTCAGTGGATCTGGAGGGACCAGTTGGAAGCCAAGGGCCATCTGCACAAAAGCTCTATACTTTTGCATTGGCCCAAGGATCCTTTATATCCTCTGACTCGTTTGTGGCTTCATTCCAGCAGAGCCATACTGAAGGAGGACTTTTCCTGCTATGACCTCTTTAGGGGAGGATATCATATTAAAAGTAAAGGTCAGTGAGAAACTCTTTCCAGCTCAAGGGAGATAGCTGTTTCTTAAAGATAACTACTAGTTTTGAAAATGTTGACCTCAGGGACTAAAAGCATTGAGCTTTTGTAACACTAATTCCATTGAAAGTCCTTAATTTAACCCCTACAATTTGCATTTTTTTGGAGATAAGAAATTAAACAATTTGATTTAGCATTCTTGGAGAACCAGATTTTGAAGGAAGTGTGGCTCTTGCCAATCCACGCGTAGCTCCTGTTCATGGGAGAAGGAAAAGCACCTGGAGAGGAAAACCAAGGCTCCGCAGCTTACAAGATGTGCTTATTCAGATGGCGAAAGTGTGTGATGTGGAGTTTGGCCAAGTCTGGATGCAAGATCTGTAAATCTGGCTGGGCTTTCAAGAAACAACAGAAGGAGGGAGAGAGGCTTTTGATTCCCTTGGCCTCTCTGAGATTGGAAGTCATCTCACTGACCTGCAGCAGCTTGGAAATTGGGCATCCAGACTCCCTATAATGTCAGTGGAGAGGATTCATTCCTAGGCAGCAAGTCATTTTACCATGTTAGTCTTACCTACTTTAATTCAATGAATTCATACTCTCTCCCTTGACTGTAAAAAAAGCCTGGGTAATTTTAATTCTCGTGAAGTTAGATCAGATGGATCTCTCCAACTAAGACTGGGAAATTTTCAGTTGAAAAAAGCACATTTCATGCCAGGAATGCGTTAAGAGATTGTGTAACTTGGAAATGGGCTGAAATCCTGTGCAAGTCAACCGATGGTTCTAACTTTCGGTTGGATTTAAGCATGTATTCTTAAATAACGTGATTACCAGGGTAGAATCCAATATGGACTTAAAAGTTGTTTTAGGGGCTTTCCTAACTCAAACAGTAAGTAGTCAGGATACCTTAAGCACTTCTGAGATAAGCAGCTTTTCTAAAGGTAGGCACACCGTACGTATGATTTAATGGCGGTAACAGTCTCCTGTCCCTTTCAATTCTTTAAGTATTGCTAGAGTAACACTGCACTTTCAGACTCAGCCTGAAAAGACTTTCCCCCATAACATAAGCATCCAGAATGGCTGGTATCAGTGCCAGGAAATGGATGCTTTTTGGCCTAGAAATGATTAAGGTATTTTACCTTAATCCACAGTTTTTAAGCTGCAGTCAGAATGTAACTCAAAAAGAATAAATCCTTATAATTGGGATAGATACAATTTCCAAAGAAAGATAGGCAACAGCAGAGGTCAAGCTATTGGAAACTGCTTAGGAGTGATTCAGATGCAACTCTGATTATCACCACCGATTTTGAAATTCTCTGTGCATATCTTGTCACTAAAATGTGGTCAGTGCTTTATCAGCATTTGTTCAGCAAGCAAATTAAGCTATTTCCTAATATAATTTTACTATGATATTTGGAAACCCAGATCTGAAGAGATCTCAGAAGACTTCAGGAATGGTTTGTGATTCTGCTGCCTCCTCTACAAATAACCCAATAATTTCAAATTTACAGATATCACAGGAGAAAAGCTGTGGTGACTGAAACGAGGCAAATTGCCTCATTGTATGAAAGTTTGTGTCGGAGGCAGAGCAAGGAGTTGTAGAATATAAATCTCATGCTCTCAAATTTCCCCGTGTTTTCACAGAACTGCATCTGTGACTGTGCAGCACTACAAAAATTTCCTGCGAATGTGCTAATAGGCCTTATGAGAATGTTCTATCACCATCCATCTGTCACTTTTTAACAGGCCTGATTGGCAAGCACTTGTAACAACTGACATCTGTTCTTGCTTATTGATATGTAGATTTATGGTAATTGCTGTGAACAATAAGACACAAAATTACCTAAGGTGAACATTAAATTAAATTTTCATGCCCCTATCCTTATAAATAATTTTTTTAAAAATCTTAAGTTTCAAGCAAGGCATACCTTGCATCTGTTTTGTACATAATTTAATTGTATTTTTTAATCTGCCAAATAGCAAAATGAAAGTTGAATTTCCTTGCAATTTATTTGCCAAGCTAATAGCACATTGGTAAATACATGTTATTAAAAATAGAATCAAACTGTATTGTGATTCTGTTGTGGTTTTGGTTTTTTTTATCATTTCACTTTAATTCCCAACATTGTCTCTATCATGAAGATCAAGACTTATTCCTTGCCCAGAAATGTTTTTCCCCTACAGAGGGACTTCCATTTTTCATGTGTAACTCTGCCTGTGAGGCTGCTCTTCAGCGTTAAGCAATTTGCATTTCTTGAGAGAGAGGTGCATTTGCTGAGTGAGCAGCACTTTCAAATGAGAGCGATTTTCTCATTTTCAGTCCAGCTCCATTGTGGGATTTGGGACTGTTTTAAAAAAGTTGCAGGATGTGAAATGTGCGAAGACAGTATGTGAAAAAGGAGAGAATGACCGAACAGATTAGTCCCACAGAACTATACCTTGACTGAAGTTCAATTGAATCAAAATCCCCATTTGAAAGGAAAGTACATTTTGGATTTGGAACTTGAGAGTATTTGGTTTCCCTTCTCCAATTTTGTCTTAGCAAGTGGGATATTGACGCGCTTGTCAAGTTGATGGGCAAAGCCAATGAAGGGAGAGACGATAAACTGCCTAGGGAACATAAAACTGTGATGACAAGAGTTATTTTTTTTGAAAGTTGGAGCAAAATGGATCCTAAAGAGTTTGTGCATTAAATGATAAATAGCTGACACAAGCAGCTATAGGGCGTGCTGGGGGACTGCATGTGCTCTGAGCCACTGCTGACAGCCACTCCAGGGCACTCAGTGCAGTGGGGCTCTTTGGGCTCCTTCTCATGACAGCAGCAGGCAGGTTGGTTGCATTTTTTCCTAAAGGCACTATAGCTGACACCCCATAACATCTGCAGAGCTGGTTGGTGGCCAGTATCTTTTAGTCACCTCCGCGCTCAAACAGACTGGGTGGAGAAACAACTCCGTCACTGCCTCACTTGTTTATTCATCTCCTTTTGGCATAGAAACTCTTTCTTTAATTTGATGGATCCCTCTTGTCCTTGCACAGGAAGTGTCCCACTATAAAATAATGCTTTTCATGATGATGCAGTGCTGGTATTAGTTTTGCATCCACACAGGCACGACAGTGACACGCAGGGCCCAAGAGAGCTGTTGTTTGTTCTGTTGACCTTGTTTTGCCACTTCCTTGAGAGCTGTACAATGTATGTACATTGCCTTCCAGCTCCCATCCTTCTGTGCTCACACTCTTTGCTGCTACAGCCTTCTTCAGCTTTGCATGCATACACAAAGCCCTGTATATGAAATGCAAAAAAGAAAGCAGTATTAAATTGCTTATGAATCTATTTATGTCCATACTGATGTTTAGAGAAAGGTTCCCACATTTTCCAGAAACGTGGAATTTGGTTTGAGGAAGCTCCTGTACTGTTCTGTGTGATTTGCTCACTATTATTTAATCCTGCTGTATGTGCTGTTTAAAAATTGGAAGTGGAAACCTCACCACAGAAGAAAAATAAGCTGATTATGACTGATCCTACTGATGAATTACTTACCAGCGGGTGATAGAAATCCATGCTGCCATGTCGAAGAGCCAGCCCACTGCTTTATCAAATGTCCATTATAGTGTGGCATGAAAAAGGGGCTCTGTGAAGATGAACAATGTCTGCTGGACATTTTAGGCTGTATAACTTATATTTCTTATAAAAGAGGAAAGTAAAAGGTACCTGAGGACCAAATTCACAAAAAAAAAAAATGCCTCTCTGTTTCGTTTTTTCCTTCTCAAACGTGCTTACAAAGCTTTAGGTTTGAACTCCTTTTTTTCTTCTTCTTCTCCAAGCTGATATGAGGTTCACCTGGTATGAGAAACAAAGTGTGCACAAAGAAGTAATATCTCTCTCTTGTTAGACAAGCTAACGTTCAAAAAAAAGGAAAAGAAAAGAAAAGAATGAGTGTTCAGGCACTTGAGCTCTTCTCTGAATGTTCCCCAAGACTCAGGTAGTCTTCTCAGCTCTGTCATTTGATCTAAAAGAAAGTATTACTCTTCATATAAGCATCATATAACTAGTATTATGGTTTATGGTCTATGTTATGGTCTGTGTCTGCTTTTTCAGTTCTACCAAGGGCTCAAACATGTGGAGATCTCTCATGTCCAAACCAACTTGGTAAACACACACTGCCATCCAAAAAATCTCTTCCATGCCAATATGCTGCCTTGTGATCACTCCTTTGGACAGTTGCATCTTATCCGTAGGATTCTGAGAAGAGACTCCCAATTGCTCTAAGTCAAATGAATGCCATTTGCTGTTCCTTGTTCATCTTTTTTTCCATTTCACATAATTTGTATTTATTGTTTCTCCTTTTTAACTCGCCATCTAAGTTAAATCCTTTGCTGTTTAAACGAATGCGTTCCTTGAGGATCTTCATTGAAATGCAGGTGTACCTCCCCCATATCTTCTGAAATAATGAAGTAACAGCTGACTGAGTACTCTCGTTATCACAATGTAGAGCTTATGGTCTGAAAGTCTCCGCTTCAGTGATGGTGCTTTGATCAGTCTGATACTAATTTGATGCTCTTAATACATACCTGGTTTTAGAAATGAACTATCCAAAGGAAAATCAGTACAACTATTGGCTACTGCACAGTGCAGTCTTAGTAGATACATTCAGATGGGACACGGGAAACAAATTATATTCATCCTAATTATATGACCCTATATTGAATCTGTTTTAAATGTTAAGTTATCTTCATTACACCCCCTGTTGTGTCAGGGAATAGTATTGCTCCTGGGATTCACACAGAGTTTAAATGACTTCTAATTCCACTCTTCCCTTATCGAAGTGACACCAACCAGATTTAATTTTCCTAACCGTAGGCTGGTGCCATTGCCATATTCTCTGACTATGAAGGCAGAAAGGTGAGAGATGCTATCTGGGGGCTTTAAGTGGCTCCCAGATTGTAAGTGTCTTGGGAGTAAAGGAAACTGAATCTCATGGCAAGATACACCCATTGAAAATAGTTTATTGGTTTTTTTGGGTTTTGTTGCTGTTGTTTTTTATGGCACCTTTTAATTAACTCTATTGCTTCTCCACACAGGCATGAACGCTTTACAATTACAGAATTTGGCAACTTTAGCAGCTGCAGCAGCCGCCGCCCAAACCTCAGCTACTACCACCAATGCAAATCCTCTCTCCACAACGACTGGTGCTCTGGGAGCCCTCACAAGTCCTGGTAAGAGCAGAATGCTTGCTTTCAAGATGCAAAAATGAGAGCAAATAGGAAGAAAATATTTAAAACTGATACCTCAAGTTTACAGATGAATGAGAAATTTAAGCTAATTTTAACTTCTCAGAAAGGGTTCAGAACATGAGCTAATCCTTCCCATCCTACAGAAAGATTAAACAAGGTGGTACTTCTTAATTCCCAGGAGACAAATCTTTGACTCTAAGCCCATTGTGCACTTTTTTTCTTCACCCATCATAAATTTTTATGCAGTCCTTCTCTCCTTTTTTCCTTCTCTTTTCCTTGCTTTATCCTCTATGGAGCTGTCTTGTGGTCCTAACTGAGAATCAGAATTGATAACAGGTGCTTAAGGAGTGCAGAGCCACAATCTGACTTAATTGCCTCAAACTGTATGGGGAAATAAGGAGTAGGCTAATAGACAGTGGTGCCTCCATTGCCAACACGTGCACTTTCATCCATGAACTTCCCATGTCTGCAAAGCCTTTGCCACTGAGGTAGTGCAGATCAAGAGGTTAGTAACACTTCAGCATCCCTGAAGTCTATGGAGAGAGATGTTGATTCAGTGTAGTTATACTGGGTTTACAGTGAAGTAGCTGAGTGAAAATCTGGCCGCTTATGTAAAGATAAAGGCTGTAGGGTGTAATTATTTGCATCATGAAGTGTGTTTATTGCTGTTCTAAAGAACATTCATATTATTTTAGACACCACTAAAGAACATTTGCGTTTAATCTTGTTTAAGTGTGTATTTATTCCCCATGAAAAAGTAATTCATGGCAGACGGTTTGAGCACATCAGTAAGGAAAACAGCCTTCACTGCACAATAGAACTGGGACCGAATGTGGTGCCGGGTGTTAAAGCTGGCCAACACTTACCATTATATTACAGTTTTATTGTTCATTTGGGGGAGAGGTTAAATGGAAGGCAGCTTGACTGAATAGTGAGTTTGTGTAGGTTTTTGCTGTTTCTTATGTGAGCCTCATCTTGACCTAAAAATAATCCGGCACAACAGACTTAAGAAGTAAATTAGGGAAAAATGATTTGGTTTTGCTGATTTTTTTGTATTTTTTATTTTTTTTTTTTAAAGTCTGAGCTTACTCTTGTCTCCATCCTGGAGCTGGATCTTAATACATTGCAGAAGGGTAGCCTGAGTGTCTGTGCTTCTGCTCTACTGTCTTCATGTCACCTTTTTAGAGAAATGTTGCATTTCTTGCAACATTAGTTGTTTCCTGCAGTTTAGATGTTAAATGTCTGGGTAGCCTGTCCTCCCAAAGCATACTCAGCATCTCTTGAGCTACACTCACTAGACCTCTTAAAACAACTAAACATACTGCATAGCAGTGCAGAGGGTCTAGAAGTGAACTTTCCTATCAGTTGTGGGGCATGAGAATCTCAGGCAGCAGCGTACTTCTGTTGTGATATTTGCCTTGCCATGTTAGCACAGGACTCAAAATTCATATTTTAGGTCCACATTTTCCTCTCTCCCTCTCTAACACAATCTCCTTATCCAGCCTGGCTGAGCTGCTGGTCCCTCCTAACCCAGGCTCCTGAATGCCCAGGCTCCTGAATGCCTGGATGGATGGGTGACTTTAGCCCATGTCCAAGCCTGCAGAAGCTTAGGCTGGGAAGGTATTTCTTCAAGATAAGAGTTCTTGGGGTGCCATCTTACAGCAAGTAGCAGGGTTTTCCAAAGAGGTTAATTATTCTGGCTCAAACTTTAAAGATTTGATATTTTAAAAAAATCTGGGACATTTAACCTCTGAAATGGTGTATTCTGAATGACAGTGCTTCCTATAGACAGTCTTATAGACAGGTTGGCATACCAAAGAGAAAATCCGTATCTAGTAGCTTCCTTACCCTGTTTCTATTGCACAACCAGCCTAAAAGCAACCCCTGATAAAATGTCTTCCAGTTTGAGCTTTCTTACCTTGTTCCACATTCTCTACCCTATAAAGTATTTTTTAAACCTAAACAGTATTTTCAATGGCTCTTCTCTGCTCTGTATGAAATGAATTTAGCTCAATAAAGCTTGTCAGAGTAGCTCAAAGTATTTCCATTAGAATTTGAAATATGTTGGCAGAAAACATTTAAATGTGCCTCTCAGAGTGTGAATGTTTGGAGGCCTTGAGGATATTTTTTTGTTCCAGTTTTCTTTTAATAGAACACTTCAGTTTGTTGTGTTTCATAAGTGTAAATTATTTTGTCTGATTTCAAAGCCTGCACAAACCCCAGTAAGAAATGTTTGTGTCTCTCCAGATAATGCATTAAATTAATATTTCTCACTTCAGAAAACTACCCAAATTTAGGAGAGTGTAAAGGTACATGCTTAAATTGAATTATTTCCTTGATGCTGTTAAAGCCAAAATCCTACTCTGAACAGGAATGGACTTGAGCACGTACTTCTAATATGCCTTAAACTGTGCCAGCCACATCATAAATCACATCCACATTTTTACCCTTATGTAATTCTATCCCTCCTGAAGATCTCTCTTGAATGTGTCTTCGACCAAAACCTGGAATCACAGAATCATGTAACAGCCCGTGTAGGAAGGGACTCATAAGGATCATTGAGTCCAACGCGTGGCCCCACACGGGACCACCCAAGCTCTTGTTTGTCCTTTGTCTGTGTCTGTCACAAGAATCCCAGATTATTGTTAATTACTTCCATTCAAATTCATCTTGCAGCTTAAGTTTACATAGATAAGATTAGCAACCTTCAGTGCATCAGACTGTTAACGATGGAGGTCAGACCAACTTTGATGCATTGGCAGCACAGAAAAACAAGCCAGGCGGTGAGACACCAGCATGGTATCTGATGTTTGAGCATGTCAAGTTCTGCTGCTGACTTCTAATTGCAACATGCTCACAAGAAAAATATTCACTGTGATTCAGTAGTGATTGTTCAATTTGTACGAAACTCTTTCTTCAAGATTCACATATTTCCAAGCAAATTAAATTCCAATGATCTTTCTCTCATATGTGCTGTATACTTATTAAAAAGCTTTGACCGCCACAGAGTCTAAGGACAGTCGTTCTCCTTCATGTACTAAATACTTTCTCTTAAGCTTGAAACACTATTCATTCAGAAAGAACAGAGACAATGCAATCCCCCAAACTATTAATTTTTTTATAATTGTAAATTTATAATTTCAATTTTGCATGCCCATGGAAGTCTCTCCCTACAGCATTGTTAGAAATGATTTTTTAAAAGCCTTTGCTTAAAAAAACATAAAAGATTAAGCTTTCATTTTAGTAAAAATCCCCTCAGGCAATAAATAGGTTCTTTTGTCTCTTGGCCCTGGAAAAAAAATTAAAATGGTTTAAATTGCCCATGGTTAAAGTAACTGTTTCTTGCAATTATCAGATGTTAGTGAATAAAAATGAAAATGAAATCAAGAAAGAATGAAAACCAGGTAAATGCATATTATGTCTTTCATGAGTTTCTCATGGGTCTTTTGAAGACTCATTTAATCATCTTCCTTGTCTTTTATTTTGATATGATAATTGTTTCCTTTATTTACTTTAATCACCTCTATTTGGTTAATTAATTCTTCAATTTCTTTTCATTTCACTCACTTACTTAGAATATATTCTTGTTTCAAAGGCAAGTGCCTGCAGTATTTCTTAATGTAATGGCATGGCCTTGGGGTAGCTTTTACCCAACTCTGTGGAGCCATGGATGTTGTCTGAGCCAGTTTGTCTCAACTTTCCCCTTGCTTCTTCCCAGAAGGTTGCATTTCTCATTAAATCAACAAGGAGGTTGGAGGAACTATGTCAGGTGTAGATAGTGGCACTTACTTAGGGCAGGACAAATCTCAGGTGAGTGTTAGGGACTGTGACCTGTTCTCCAGAGAATATCCTTGCCATATTCTGCAGAAATTCTGACTAGCACAAAGCCCGCAGAAAGGCTGCTCCTGCAGAGGTGGACATAAGAACTTAGGATCAGTGTATCTCCCTCCAACACTCTGACATTTACTTTGCTTTACTTGACCCATTACCCTAATTTTCACAAGGATAATGTTTGGGGGTTTTTTTCTGGCTTTCACAGGTAGTACAACCTTGGTACTGTAAAAAATGTCCTGCTATCTTTTTGTAAACTACTATTAAGCAACAGCAGAAACATATCTGCACTCTGAAGAAGAATATGGAAGCTGGGTTTCAGATGCCAACTTATTTTTTCATCTTATAACTTTCCACCACTGCATAGATTTTTACTGTTGAACGTCATAGCATGAAAGACACAAAATCACATAGTTTTGAAGGATCTCTACCCAGAGTCTGTGCTCCAGGCTCCTGCTCAAACCAGAGCCACATAGAGCAGGTTGGTGAATGCTATGCCCAGCCACGGATTGAACATCTCCAGAGAGAGAGATTCTACTGCATCCATGGGCCTGTTTCAGTTTTGTTTCTTAAAATTCTTACATAACTTCAGTTGCCAGTTCTTCAGTTGCCAGTAGGGAAGCTCTTAAACATAGTAGCTTAATGGGTTGTAATGGTGACAGGAGGACAGTTGGACTAGATGATCTTATAGGTCATTTCCAACCTTGTGATTTTATGATACTCAGTATAACTTCTGAGTTGTGGAAGAGTTGCAAAACCAGAAGCTAATTCAGTTGCATACTTAGGAGCCTTGATTTTCCATCACATTTTCATGATCATTTGATTCTCTAAACTATTATTTATTCACACCACTGAACTAGCTATTGATGCTTCTGTAACAGAACTCTTCAGGTTTATCTGCTGTGTAAACCTAAAAGGAAATCTGTGCAAAAAACATTGTCATTGTAGAAAGACAGACTTTTTTCTTTAACAACCTCTTAAAATCAAGCCCAGCTTTTGCTGTGTTCTGTCAGAATTCACCTTTTAAGCCTTATGTTGAAAAAAGCCCTCCTCACATAAAAAATGTAAAAATACTCATTTCAGACAGATGCTGACACTGAAGTATTATTGCCTTCCCCCTAAGAAAGGAACTCCGTGAAGTATAGAATAAA